TTCTTTTTTTTATGTTAAATTATATTCTTTTAAACTCATGTTGTTTAAGGATTGAAAAAAAAGATTTTTCATTGACTTATTTTGCTATGTTTGTTATGAACTTAAAAATAGGATATATTTCTCAAAACAAACAAATCCTTGATCCTTAAAAAAATTACTAAATTGAGGATGATTAATAGTAATCGGAGAGTTATTTAATTATTTATTATACTATTAGGATTAATTAATTAGTTTCTATGTGCCCTATAATTAATTCTTCTCAAATTTGCTCATTGGGGGGGGTCATTATTTAGCTTTCCAAACATAACAATCACATTGTAGCTGGATATCCTTGAAAGCTTAAGTTGGTTGGTAGGTGTATATATTTTCTGTTATTGTCCAGTGTTCAAATATTAAGAGAGATTATAAGAGAAAAAAATGAAAGCAGTAATTTAGATGTCGATTCTTACTTGTAACCTCATCAGAGATGAATTTACATAAGATGGCTTAAAAACATCTTTATTATTAAGATAAAAATAAATAAATAAATAAAGTAGTTGAAAAGAATGAACGAACAATCAACACCTCACTTAAACAAGTGGGTATAAGATTCTTCTATACTAGGAAACCAAAATTCGAATCCGTCATTCTATGAAAAAAGAAGAGAAATCCAGGGTTTTTTTATCCTCCATGTTCTTGTTTGCGTGAATTTGAATTGCAAGACAAGAGAGAAATAATGATTTGTTAAATTCATAAAGGAAAACTGTCATACAGTAGGAACTGACGAGTAGATATAAGTGCAAATTAATACAAAGCAAACTTGCTGATTTAATAGATACCCACTTACATATATATACATATATTTATATATTTCAGGTTGGCCTCTACCAAAGGCAGGGCAATGGACTAACTTCTTCTGTAATCCACAAAAAGTGGTACGCAACAATGAAGAGTAGAATCCATGCCCTTTTCTTCTCATCACTCGGTTACTTGTATTTATTTTCACAGTATAATATCGTATGAAGGCATAAAATCACAACTTTTTTGTTTCTTTCTTTATCCCTTTCGACTTTGGTAGCCATTGCCACGGTCCTTGACATGGAATCCAGCAGAAACAGAAGGTTTTCTGAAGAGAGCAACATGCACCCCAGGATCATGATGACTGCATGAAGAATTGTAAACGATTGAGTTGTTAACACCTTGCACATTACTGTTCACAAATGCACTCATAGGAGATGGCCCCATTGATCTTCCTTTGTGGTTCTTGTTCTTCTTGCTGTTGTCTTCTGCACCACTGCTGCTCTGGCTTCCCCGATCACTGCCTTCACTTCTAGGATTACCCTTCCAGTGAAGAGTATGAGAATTGCCTTCAAAAAAATGTTTCTTGGGAGAACGGATTACTTCCATTAAAGCACCTTTGTTTTCACCAGCAATTGTAATTACCCTCATGCCAACATCCTCAGAATCTGAAGAAATCTTCTTGCCGCTACCTTTCTCCTTTGTTTGATCTTTGGCAGTTTCTGGCTTTGCAAGACGCGCAATGCCAGAGCTGAGACTGCCTGCAAAGGCCCTCAGCGAATCACCTGCATCCTTAGGCTTGTCAATAATCTTCTGAACCAACACAGTTTTTTGCTCTGCTACTAATGGAATCTTGGGTTCAAGATCAGCGTCAGATTTTACTCGGGAAGGTGGAAGTGTTAGAGGAGAAGGTGGTGGAGAAGTGGGCTTAGGCTTAGGTGACTGGGGTGGGGTTTGAACTGTAGGCTTGACGATTCTTAGAGATGGTGTAGGGCCAGGCACACGAGTTGCACTGGTGGTTACAGCTTTAGTGGCTGGAGAATTTGGCACCGAGGATGTGACCGTCGCTGGCTTAGGGGCAGGAGAGCTTGGCGCTGAGGATGTGGTTGACACTGGTCTAGTGGTAGGAGAAGATGAGACGGAAGCGGATGGAGCTGGTGTAGAAGCTGGAGAGGCAGGAACTGAAGACGAAGTACGTGATAGTTTGAGGGTTGGAGAAGGTGGAAGTGAAAAAGTAGTGGGTGGAAACACTGTGGAACTTGGGACAGGAGAAGTGGGCACTGAAGATGAAAGAGCAGGTGCCCTTGGAGCTGGGGATGTTGGTAATGATGCAACACCACCTGCAGCTTTTACAGCTGGAGATGTTGGAACTGAAGCAATACCAGCGGCAGGTGGCACTGTCGCAGCAGAAGGAGTTGGTGCGGGAGTGGGCTCTTGAGGCTGTGTTGGCACAGGCTGAGGCAGAGCAGTTAGCCTAAATGAAGGTCGAGCAAGAGCTGGACGGGGTTGTGGAGGAGGCGGCTCTGGAGTTGGGGTTGGAGCAGGGGCAGCTGGCCGCGCTATTGATGGCAAACGGAACCATGGGCGAGGCGGGGCAGGTTGGTTTGACATGTCGAGGAGAGTTTTTGGATTTTAGAACTTGACAGATAAGAAACGCAGGAATGAATACAAGTATAGAATATAGATGATTAATGCATGCGAGTTGTTATTTATAGTGTTATAATTTTATAATCGAAAAAAGAGTGGGGGCGGGGGGGGGGGGTTTTAGTGACTGCTATAGGAGATTCAAGTCCCAGCCCCTCCTTCGAAGCCTGGCTACAAATTAAGTTCCACCTCGGAAAACTTTTAATTAACATGATCATCATCATCGTCGACTTTTTTGGTACATTGTTCTGCATTTTTTCTTGCACTTCTCTTGCTGGGATCGTAGCAGCCGTTCCTTTCCAAACATGGTAACGGCTGTCCACCAAACTCATATTGACTAATGAGCATATTCACGCTGTGCTCATTGCGGCTTCACTCTACTCTCCCTGTTTCCCATTGTTACAAGGCGAATCAGAATTTGTCAATATGTTTTGTAGTTAGTAACCATAAAGCATACTGTAATAATATTCTAGAAGTCCCCTAGAGGATTTCGGTACCGTAGTTATGTATTCATCTTCCACTTTGCTTGCTAGATTTAGTCATTGCGATTCTTTCCGTCTTTGTTTTCCTTTTCGAACTTCATTTACCTCACGACGCTTCAAGATTTCCCTTCCATCAAAATAATTAGGGGTGTTAAAATAGCTGAGAGAGGATAGAGAGAGGTAGCAATAGTTGACGGTGACCGAAGATACACCAAAGTTCTCCATTGTTGTAAAAGGAAAAGAACGACAGAGGTGTCCAGGGAATCTCTACCCTATCTCTTCGTTACTACTGAGGAGTCACAAAGATTGTAGAATCTTGTTTTACAAGTCCCCTTCAAATATTATTTTAGTAGCTTCAAATGAGATCAAGACAGAAGAGAGATTCCCAGAATAGAATATTAGGCAAAAACTCTTCATCTGGAAGTATCAATCAATGTCATATTTGGGTTCGTTTAATCTAATTATACAGCAACAATATTTTAAATGACTATGGGCGCGATGTGATATATATATATATGGCTGTTACAGATTTTGGTATCCAGACCCAGTGAATCAAGCTTCTTGGTGGATTCAAGGGGTTTTTCTATAAGGGTTACAACACTTATTTTTTAAAATATTTTTTTTTGAAATATATTAAAATAATATTTTTTTTATTTTTAAAATTAGCATATCTCAAAACATGAAAACAAATAATTGATTTAAAATAAAAAATAAAATAATTAAAAAAAAACTTTTAAAACACAAAAATATTCAACTCTCTTTATGTATCATTTCAGTGGGCAGGGACATTTCATTGCATTTATCAGTTTATTTTCTTTTGCACCATATACCTTCATTCTGATAGATTCTTTCTGTGTCAATGAACTGCTAGCGCCCTTTATGTAAATTAATTGGCACCAGGGGAAATAAAAATCTTAGTTGTATGTGTCTGAAATCTTGAAATGCATTTGAACTTTTCAGATACAGTTTACAAGGCACATGAAGGTCAACACATTTGTTGGATTTGCAGATCGTACACATTAGGGAAGGACAAATGCAGATACTAATGGGTGCTGATGAGCTAAACCAATTTCCTTGTAATCTAATGATCTTGAAAGAAATTTGCCTTGGTCTAATTATCAACTCCTTCAACAGAGAGAGATTCTTCACTGTCATGCAGTACTGCTACATTTCAATAAATTGCAAATTCTCTTCCTGTGATTTTGATTTTTAAAAAATGGTAAAAGCATAGCCTGAGAAAAAAGAAGAAAGCAGTTGCATATGAACTGAGCAAGTACTTCTGACATTCTTTTGCCGAACATTAGTTGATACCATGAGAAGAGTTATGGTAGGATTTCTGTTGAATCTACAACTTTGTCCACAAGCTATTTCTTACGGATCGAGGAGCATGTATTGCATGGTAATGTATTTCTTTCTGCTCGATCATATATACTAATGACAAGGATACAGACAATCACAGTGGAAGTGGATGGAAAAATTTTCGAGTGCAGGTTATACAAGTGACCTGATATAGAGACAATATACCTGCCTGGTTTGTAATAAAGCTCAGACTCGAGGTCTCTATGATTCAAGGCCATTTAGTGAATTCAAACACTTTAAAAACTATGTCAATTCCAGTGGGGATTTGCCACAAGAAGAGAACAACGTTAATTGCATTTAATGCAATGTGAAGGTTCCTTGCCGTTTCATTCCCTTTCTGCATTGCAGGGACTAGGGCGGCTGCCGCTGCCCATAACACCGTAATGCCTGTGACACAATTAAAAACAGTAAGATCAGCTGATCAAGGCAGTTTCTCAGAAGTGAAAACCAGCGGCGTGACTAAACTGGACGGCATTTTTGAAAACCTTATCCTATAACACGCGAGTCAATGTACAAGAACCCTTGTTTCCCCTTTCAGGTTATAATTTTGGATTTTGATAAACATAAACACTGGTGCTATACCTGCTCCTGCAAACAAATGAGGTCCAGGGAATAGCTTTCCTGTCCTCAACCATGTGTTGACTCCTCCACCAATTGCTTCAAATACTCCAAGTCCTAGCAATATTGATCCCGCGTTGAAGTGCCTGTCCCTGTAAGACCCTTTAATCAACTCCTTCCTCTCCTGTATTAGAAATATCAATGCCTTAGATAAACATATTCTCTCCTCGACTCCTTCAGAAATGCAATTGGTTAGGAAAATAAATGCCTCCCAGAAGTCACACCATTTCAACATTCAAGCAATGCAATTCCTCAAAAAAACTTTCAAGCAATGTAGCATTAACAACAATTTATGTGTAATTAAGAAATCTAAAAAGAATTTGAAAAGAATCACAATGGAACATTTTCACCCCAACCAGGAGACCATGGTACTCCAAACAGTTTTAGAAGTGATCTTTGTTATTATATGATAGGGCGTGAATATGCAAACACCAAAGAGAGAAAAATAATTTCATCTCTTAGTTATATTAAACTAAATTTGGCAATATTGGAAGAAGAAATGTACACCAATTCCTTCTTCGATGACATTGCATTAATCATGATTCGTTCTATTAACATATCATTAGGTATCAATGGCATTCACATATAAAAATAATAATAATAAAAAAAAGTAGTCATATGCTTTGCAAATTGCAATCCTCAAACATTTTTCCTTCTCAAATGACTCCCTCAAATGGTAACTCACAGAAGGAATCCTGAATCACTACAATTAAAACTGTTCTTTTTTTTTTTAGCCTGTAGCCTTACCTCAGTGAGTTGCTGAATTTTGAGCTCAACAGGAGATGGTGCAGCTTCCACAGGTGTGCCTTCAGGAGTAACTGGGGTAGGTTTCACTTGCCTTTTAAGTTCACTGATCTCATTCTGTGTGGTCCTAACACGCCTCCATTGCCACCCCAAATATCCAGCCCACAAAGTGTAGAATAATAAACCACCCATCACAATGGGGTGAATAAGTGCAAATGACCTTCCCTCCAATATCCCAAACTCCCCACCAACAGCAAGCGCATCCTACAGTCCACAAAAAAAAAAAAAAAGGGTCAGCAATTCAGTCCAGAAAATGATAAATTAGAGCAAAAGAGGATTTCTAAAACTGCTTGACGATGGGCTTGCCTTTGTGTCTAAGAAGAAAGGTAATGCGAGCGATGCAGTTGAAAGAGAAGCTGAACTTAGATGCTGGATGGTTTCAGTGAAAAACTTACGAGGGCTATGCGAGTCCTTTTTGCAGACATCTAACTTTGATGAGTTAGAAAGAAGAGGCATTTTTGAGTGGATAAGTGGAGTATTATTCTTCTGAGCAAGAATTGGGAATTTTAGAAGGCCGAGCGTGGTGGCCATGCTGTCACTCTGTGTTGCCTGGGACAGGAAGATAGAGGAAGAGAGGATAAACCGGCTACAACAGAAGATAAGGAACTGAGATTTACGAGACCTTTTCAAGCATCTGTTTTGGTTAATAAGAAAATGGGCCCGTCTCTGTAACGACCACATGATTGCTGATCCATCTGTTCAGTTTGTAAGTTACAGTCTACCTTTGAAAACAGTGATGTCATTTTGTAAAATGAGGCTTGGGCTGCGATGAAGACAACATACAAGATTTATCAACATTTTAGATCATAAAAAAGATAGGCTCTCTCGTGGGGTGGGTTCAGAACGTTGCTAGGGTCCATTTACAAGTTCTGTGAAATAAGAGTTGGAAATTGTTGCCGTGTTCGTCCGAGGATATTCCGAGGTTCTGGGCTTGCCTTGTTGCTCAGCCGGATCCAGAATGAAACGCTTCTGCTTTCTAAACTTCGTTATGGAGGGACAATCTTAGATTATTCTCTTGTAGCCTGTAGGCTTATGTAATTTGCTTGTCTTCTGATATCTCCATTGATGCGTTTTGAAAACCTAATTTTGGTAAGGCTGTGAAGATCAAGTATTCTTAAAATCTACATTACAGCTCTTCTACTTCTAGTTCAATCTGAACTTAGACAGATACCTAAACCTAATCCTTGGTTCCCTCCATCGTTTTTAATTTAAGCCACGGGATCATTTCAACCAGGTGGTAAACTTTATCTCTCCACCTTTAACGAATAATTTCAAATATTTCTCATTAAATCGAAAGGTTTTCTGATTAAATAGAAGCAAAAAAAATTGCAATGATTGCCCCTTTGATCTTGTCCTTCGGCTTAAGTCTAGGTTCTGTTTGGTTTTGAATTAAAAGGATTAAGAGGATGTTTGAAAATATAATAATAGTTAATTTTTAAAGTGTTTTTTATTAAAAAATATATTAAAATAATATATTTTTTATTTTTAAAAATTTATTTTTAACATCAGTATATCAAAATAATCAAATTTTAAAATTAAAATTAAAAAAAACATTTTTAAAATACAAAAAATAAACATATCATCAATATTAACCACTTAATATTAACCTTTCTATGATTTTTTAAAGTAGGGAGAGATAAGCATTAACCTAACAGGGATGAGGTAAAAAACTGGTGATGGTGGGGGAAGAATTTGGGATTTGTGCTAAAAAAACCTCTCATTAATTTTTATTCAAATAAAGCATAGAACCCATAACCATGCATTGTTTATGACTTGTATTTACTGTAAATTTTATTTACTGGACCCATGT